AGATCATGTCTAAGGCCAGTCTGTTCTGGAAGGTCATTTGGGATGTGGCCTGTAATTGCTCGGCCAAGCCCTGGAGGGCATCCCTGGTGTAGTTCACGAAGCGCTGTTGGTTGTAATAAATGTAGTTAATCCAATTAAGGTTTTTGTTGGCAGTGACTATAGTGAACAGTGATTCAAAATCTGCAGCTATTTCATCTCTAGCTTTAAATTCATTAGGTACCCCCCTAGGCACCCCAATGGCATCTATGTAAATGTGGGGGTCAAAACTGCCTTTTACTGGGGTTTCGCGCCTCACTCTGGCTGGGGTATGTGGAGGGTCGTATGTGTCATGATGATTATCAGAAATAATATGAATGGGCATGATAACTTTGGCTAGGGTACACTCACCCCACCACTCAGTTTCCAGCCTAGATCTTAACTGTAGATCCCCACATAACCAGTAAACATCCCCCAATGACCTGGTATGGTGTTGCAACAGGCGTATAGGAACAGTTCTGTAAGTGGCGCAATAACCTTTACAAAAATTAACCATGAATTTACCAATCCCGTCATACATGGCATAACAAGTGTAATTACCTCTATAGACTGTGATTCCATCTGGTGGCTTAACATTTTCAACTAAGAGAGGGTACTCTGCCGTCCATGCCATGCAGAGGGACCTATTAAAGTCATATTGGTAGGCAAAAAGGCTTAAGAAGCAATCTTCTATATCTAAAGGGAGAATTAGGGGGACGGTGCCAAGGTGGGGTCGGGCACCGCCACATACATAACATGCTGTTTTATTATGTTTGTTGGCATTATACCTCATCCATTCTAACCACAAATTAATGTCATTGAATCCAGTTTCAGCGGCCATGGTATCTTCAAAAGTGGGGTTAGCGATGGCCATCATATCTTTAAAGGACTGGATATGTGGTTTTAGCGGATTTGGGACCATATGATCAGCCCCTTGCCACTCTGGAGAGTGGTACATATCTCTGAGGTAGAAATGACCTAATTTGTTGTAGGAACCTTTCTTCCAATACATTCCCATTACATATCGGTCTGCATCCTCGGGGCCAGGATGTTCAATATTTAACATTAATTTCATAGGGGTACTTCCTCCAGGCTTTCTTAAAGTCATTCTTTGAAGGAGGGATCTACCCTGATTGTCTATCTTAGATAAAGCACTTTTGGGTTTATAACCCCAGGCAGGCCCAGTATTCCATCCCGCAGCCCCCCAGTAGTTACAGTCATAACCCCATTGTTCATCTACTACACAAACGTAAGGGTCTTTTGCTTGTGGTATATCTTTATAAATGGCTTGAATCTGTGACTTAGGGAATGGGCACTCTACAATATCACAGTAATCAAAAGTGAATGTAGCCACATGGGTACATGATGAATTATACCAGAAAGTGTACCCACTAGCATCTTTGGTGATGGCCACCTGCTGGGCTTTAAGGAGGCCAACTAAGGAGATAATGTACCAGAGGCACATGGTTGCATAGAGTTAGCTTCCTCTGGGGCAGGTGTCTTCTTGCAATGGGAAGCGTGGATCCAGTTAGGCCTTCCGGCCAATTTGACAGAGGTAGGGGAGATCAGGAGAACTTGGAACGGACATTTACTGTTTTCGCACAAATTTCTTGACCAGAACCCAGTCATCGGGGAGCAGACTGTGGTTGCCTGTGTCAGAATCAGGATCTGGAATTGAAGAGAAAACTTGGGCATGGATTTTGTTTAAAGCATTTGCGAGTTCAGTTACATAATCTACTAAGACATCAGTTTGAAGTTGTAGTTGTTGGGGAAAATAGCAACCTAGCCTAGGTGCAGTCCCAAATAGAATCTCATATGGGGACAATAAGGTAGTATTTTTGTACAAGAGCATTCATTAGATCCTTTGATAAATGTGCAGGTCCGTGTGCCCATTGTACGACTGCTGGGTACAAATTCTTAGGGAGGCAGAACTTGAGGTTGTTGGAGTACACTCCATCCTTCAGAACTGCCCCTTTCTGTTTCCACTTCTGTATTTCTTCAGGGGCAACTGTAGCCTGTTGTTCCCGCAGGATTTTTAGGTCAGTTGGAAGAGTCTGCAGAGTAAATATGGGAGTTTCTTCATTTCCGGACACTCTTCTTTCCACTTCCTGTGGTTCTTTTGCAGCTTGTTTTGCAGCCTGATCAGCTAGATGGTTGCCCTTTGCTTCATCTGAGTCCAACTTCCCATGTGCTTTTATCTTCAAAATAGCCACTTCTTCTGGGAGTAGGAGGGCGTCCATCAGCTCCTTGATTGCGGAACCGTGCTTGATTGGTGTACCGGCGGTGGTAAGAAATCCTCTTGTTTTCCAAATTAATCCGAAGTCGTGAGCCACGCCCAGTGCATATCTTGAATCCGTGTAGATATTGGCGCGCTTTCCTTCAGAGATCTTGCATGCTGAAGTCAGGGCTTGCAATTCAGCTTCTTGTGCAGACATAGTTGATGGTAAAGATGATGATTTGACAATTTCATCTGTTGTGGTTACGGCATATCCTGTATGGTATCTTCCTTCTTCATCAGCATATCTTGAGCCGTCCACAAACAGGGTGAGATCGGGATCTACCAATGGGTCTTCATGCACAGTTGGTAGATGTGTTGTTTCCATTTTCATCTGTTCAAAACAGTCATGAGGTGTATTTGGGTCGTAGTCATTTACTATGGTTAAATCTTGGAACTCATTTTCCAGGAAATGATGTGGCCATGCTTTTAGGTGGTCAGTTGTTGGATATTTGACAACACCATTTTCCTGTAGCTGTGATTCGTCCATAGTGGCCCATGCTTTTGCCATAGGCCCAAGATCATTCCATGATATTGTTTTCAACTTGGTCACAGGGACATGTGGAATGGCAGTGTCCCAATGACGGTACAAATGCTTGAGTTCCGGAGGTAGATGAATCAAGACCATACTGTTGCCTTCAGAATCACAGTAGAAGTCTTGTGCAGTGAGTTTTACTTCGACCAGATGATAGAGTTCATCTTCATAGCAGGGTTCAGGAGTGATGTTTGGTTTGTACCACATGGTACAGAAGGCATATCCTGCTCCGTCATGAAGGAGTGCTTGTCCATCATGAAAGGATAGGTTGGGATGCATTTCCTTCTTGATGGTGCCAGTGAGAAGAAAAACATAAGTTTTGTCCATGATGAATCCGTAGTATACACCCCCCTCAGGGAGTGGCAGAAGAGTGGACGGATTGAGAACTTGACATCTTTGAAGGGTAATGTTGTCAGGCAACAAAAGGTGACATTGAAGGCGAAGATGCCTAGCAGGAGTAACATGCTTAAGTTGGACCTGGTTGACTATGGCAGAAATATCATGAGGGGCCAAGACAACCAGGGGGTGGCCAAGGACAAGATCCCCAGTTCTTTCAATGAGCTCTCTGGCATTAAAGACGGCCCGAAGGCAAGAGGGACGTCCTCTGGCCACAATATCCAGTTGGCAGGAGAAAAATCCAATAGGCCTTTGGCGGCCTCCAGGACCATGGGCCTGAGTGAGCACTCCTGTTGCATGGCCTTGTCTTTCAGAAACAAACAATTTGAAGGGTTTGGTATAGTCTGGTAGGCCAAGAGCAGGAGCAGAAGCAATAGCACGTTTGAGAGAACAGAAGTTATCAAGGGCTTCTGTGAACAAGCAAAATGGGTCTGACTTGAGAGCATCCTAAAGAGGTTGCATAAGGAGTGAGGCTTCTGGGATCCATGCTCGGCAATAGGAAATGAGGCCTAGGAAGGCGTGTAGTGACTTTGAGGTCCTTGGAGGTGGAATGTCCAGTACTGCTCTAACTCGGTCACGAGTGAGATGTCTGGTTCCCTGAGACAGACAATGGCCAAGGAAGATACCAGTAGGTTGGCAGAATTGCAGCTTGAGACGTGAAGCTTCACATCCTTGTTCTGCTAGATAGTAAAGAAGATTAATTGAGCATTGTTCTGTTGTGGGTAGATCATCTCCACAGTAAAATGGGAAGGGAACAAAGAACTGTAGTGTCTTTTCGTGACAAAGGTGTATTTAATTGAACCTGGCCGTCTGCAGTGAGGGTGATGGATGCTTGGAGGCAGGATAGGACATCAGCACCAACACAAGAGACATCGGTGTCAGCCAGGAACGATGAGTCAGGCAGGTCTTGTTCTCTAGGAACACTGCGGGATGCACCTGTGTTAACCAGGAAACCAGGAAAGTAGTAGGGTGTCCTTCAATAGGTAAAGTTACAGTGGCTAGTGGCCCCCCTTGTTCCCTGTAGACACTGCCATGGCAGGGGCATTAAGCATCAGCGGGTTTCCTCTCCTCTGTATGGGCTGTGTTACTGACTCAAACCCCTTTCTATGTCATTAGCCATAGCTTTTTGCAGTCTGAACATGTCTATCATTATAAATAATGGTTAATAGTAAGTGAAGTAAAGTTCCTATATGTCTTTGGATAAAACGTTAACTATTGCGGTACTATCATTTATATCAATTAGACTACAACAATTATACCACCCTGTAACTAAAATAAACAACCAGTAGTGGCTGGGTTAATAAAACATGTCACAAACCCTTCTAATGCTAAACCATCATTTAACGTAAAGGATGTTACTGTAAACATACGATCTGTAACTAGCAAGATTCGATTAAGTAAAGATACAATGTTTAAAATAACTTGCATTATTTGGCTATTTCCCTTGTTGCAAGATTAATCTGGATAATCAGCTGTTATGCTCTTATATTCGTGTCCAACAGATCTCATTTGTAGGTCACACCACAGTTGCAAATTACATTTTAGCAACCTTCTTTTTTTTATATCACGGACACATTGTTGATACAGGGAAACAAATGGCATGATTGTTTTAGTAATTATAATGTTTCTGTTCATAATATGTAGAGTGTAAGGAAAACAACATGTCTCTAAATAGGACGAGCATGATAGGGGTAGGCCTCATGATGGAGGCAGCCATGACAGGGGCGGGGAAGGAAATGACAGCAAGGGAGGAAGTGAGATGACGTCCATGATAGGTGTGGGAAAGGAAGACAGGAGGTGTGGGCATGGTAAGGGCGGAAGTGACGTTACTTTAGAAGCAACCGTGACTGTAGATAGGTCACGGGACTGGCAGGGTCAACCTCCTTCTGTACTAGGCGCCATCTTTAGGGTGGTGGCTGATGCACTTTCAACAATACACTATATTAAAACTATTAAAATAAGTCAGAGAAGCAACATTCTGTTCTGCAAAATGAAATATTAAACTATGAACAGACCTGGCAGGTTAAATAAGACAGTTGAGAACATTATGCATTTAACAGCCCATACAGCTGTTTCTAGAAACATGTACTTTAAAATAACTTTAAAATAATAAAATGATGCAAAATAAACTCGCAGAATTCAACCAAATTCCCTTATCTTCCTCAAACCATTAATCACTTTCCTCCTCTTATACTGACTTAACAACATCGCATATTCCCTCTACACCTTCCTAAATCCCGTATTCAACACTGAATGCAATCTTGTGAGCTCGTCACTCCCACAATCCACAATTATATATATATATATATATATATATATAAACGGCAAACGGCAACAATAATAATATTATTACACAATTATAACACCATAACCTTTGAATTAGAATATTTTCCAGCAAAAATCCTGTCTCTAACTCTTATCAGTAGAAATGCAGGCAAGCGGGGAGGAGAGGGGGGAGAAAGTTAGACAGTGCAAAAAAGGGAGTGAAGCTGCAGGCATGAAGATTAACCATGTGAGTGCTGGAAAGTAACAAGACAGAAGGACAGAGACTTATACGTTTGGAAACCAGAAATCTTTGACGGGAGAAACGGACTGGAGGTGCAGGGAGCTGCAGAGAGAGGATGAGGGTGACGAGATCTGTAGGACTGATGGGAGGAGAAATAGGGATCCATCAGCATCCAGTAACACAATTATTATAATACACAAACAATCTTAAACCTTTGTGATCAATTTCTTCCTCAACCTATCCCTTTTGCTGAATAGCTCTTGCTACTCGGTACCAGGCTTCTGCTGTACAAACCAAATCTTGGTCCGACAGCTTCCCTTTCTTCTCTGTCAGTAACTTACGCCAGCTCTCTGGCTACAATCTGCCGCACAGAGGTACGGTAATTCCACATACTTTAGCAATCTTACTCACTTTCTTAACCATCTCTTCTCCTTCTCTGTCTTCCACTAGATCACATGCTAACCAACCCTTACTGGGTTTATCTAACTTCTGTCCCATCCTCCCTATATAAGGCGTCCCAGATATAGAGAGAGAAAGGAACAGAACGTCTACCGTGCTCGACTGCTACTTTAAGAGCAAGCTCTTTAAGTACGTCTTCCCAAAACGTAGACTAGTCACTGATTCCGCCTACCCGTGGTAGCCGCGGATTGGAGCGTGGCGAGAAGTGTGTGACCAATCACTTCTCTCAACAGAGAAAGAGAAATAGGAGGGGAAAGTGTAAATAGTACAGTGAGTAAGATAGAAGTAAACACAGGAATCTGTGTGACAGACAATTAAGACAATAACATTTCAGTGTAAATACAGTGCATGCATCACAGTTCAAATAAGTTCAACAGTTTTATCCCTTGCCTTTACTCGTGTGGCCAAAAGCCACCTCCCTCAACCTCGTAGTGTCCCTGTTGCGGACCCACCCGCAAGTCTCACTACCAGCAGCCACAGGAAACAGCAACAGCTTCCAACCTGAATCCTGTATAGCCTAAAGAATTGGAATCTTACCTGCCTCAGCGCTCGAGGCTGGAATTTTACCAAGAAGAAGTGGCACTATGGGGAACCCCCAGGAAGCAATGAGTCTACACCCCTCCACAGATTCCCCCTACTCTTTTTCCTTACAGCCACAGCCACGTGGCTCCTAAAAGAGTTAAACAGGCAATAGAGGACCCCCAGAAAAACTTCCACAGGTCCACCCCCCTTTTTCCTTACTACCACAGCCACGTGGTACCTAAAAGGAGTTAAACAGGCACTTACACTCCCCGGGTACTAAGTTAAACACAAACCAATACAAACACACCCAGGCAACAGATAGTCAACATGCAGGTAAATTAAGTATCATTAACAATACAAAGACTCTGGGCAAGTTATTACCTGACTTTGATGTCCTCTCGGCAGCAGTCACAGACACTGGGATAGGTCAATCACAGGGGCAGGAGCATACCGGCTAGGTGCTGCAGCAATCTCTACCGTGTACTCAGAGGTGATCAGGCTCTTTTCCTTCCCCCAGGATTCAGCCCCCCCAGCGTCTTCTTGGACAGCTGCCCAGGCAGGACATAGCCCAGAGCCCCACGTTGGGCGCCAATTTGTAGTAGATAATTTACTGCAAACCAATTAGTTTGAATGACTATCTGTTCCTGTCCAAATTAAAGATAATAAAGTTGCGTGCACGCAGAAGTAAATTCACACTGAGACACAGAGTTCAGGTTAATGAAAGAACTTCGGAGAAGTTTAATGGCTTCTGACAGAAAATGGGTGCGCAGACCCTTTTAAAGGCATTATTACATCACTGAAGAATTCAAGATAACAGCAAATAGACACTATTGATTGGTCCAGGTGTTAAGTGGTTAGTTAGATACCCTCCTATCAAGAGGTGATGTCATCCTTGACACGGGAGTGGACACAAGATGTAGGCGCCATCTTGTTAGCACGAGGTGTTCACTCGATGGGAGGGGTGCTTTGGCAGCCATCCATTTAGAGTGTAGCTGGCACGGTTAGTTTCTCAAGGTTAAGTTTCAAGGCTTTTAGTAAATACACATTTTATCAAAGCTATTTCTTGCTGGCATGCAAATTCTATGTTCTATAGACAAAGCTTTCTTGTAAAACTATGGGGGCCTCTTAGAGGTATAGCAAGAGGATTTAAAGGGGCCTTACAGATTTATAGAGGCCTAATAATTCTACAACAGTATCACGCAACTTCCTGACAGAATTGTGGATGCATTCGTTATTACACTGACCTCTATAATATACCAACGTGCTCGGACGAAGACGCCTGGACGAGACGCGCGACTAGAGTGACTGCATATCTCAAGCAACATATGAGCCAAACCTTAACCAGAGAAATGAGGGAAGAACTAGATGCCCCTATTACCATGGGCGAGCTCCAATCAGCTTTAAAGGCCTCTAAGGCGCACAAGGCCCCGGGCCCAGATGGCCTCCCAGTTAAGTATTATAAAAAGTTCCAGGAACTCCTGCTGCCATATCTACTGAGAAGCCTTAACTCTCTCGTGGACGGTGGTCAACTTCCGGAAGACACCCTGGCAGCGACCATTACTCTAATCCTGAAGGAAGGGAAGGACTTGGCCAATTGCTCAAGCCATCGGCCGATCTCCCTCCTTAATGCGGATTTGAAGTTGTATACAAAGATCCTGGCCTTACGAGTGGGCAAAGTGCTGCCATACCTGGTTCACCCGGATCAAGTGGGCTTTATCCCAGGCAGAGAGGCGAGGGATAACACTATCAGGGCCCTCAATGTGATCCATGTGGCATGGAGTACCAACCGAAGCGCCCTCCTCCTCTCTATGGCCGCTGAAAAGGCATTCGACTGGGTGAACAGGCAATTCATGCTGGCGACACTTCGTGCGATGGGTTTCGGACCAAATATGCTTACCTGGATCGCCTCCTTCTACACGACACCCACTGCCAGACTACGGGTCAATGGGGCCTTGTCGCAACTTTTTAATATCTGGAATGGCACGAGACAGGGCTGCCCTCTGTCCCCCTCCTGTTTGCCCTCTCCCTGGAACCTTTCCTGGGGGCAGTCAGACGGGATGGGGGTATATTGTGATTCTCCTGCGGACAGCAAGAACAGCGGGTAAGCTGCCTATGCTGATGATTTGCTTTTTTTTCCTCGATAGCCCGTTAATTTCGCTACCGAACCTGCTTGCCAGATTCCGGGAATATGGCCTCCTTTCGAAGTTGAAGCTCAATACAGACAAATGGGAGGCTCTGCCGATCACCGTCTCTAGAAGGGAAACAGACCAGCTCAAGACGCAGTTCCCCTTTAAATGGTGTGTAAGCCAAATTAAATATCTTGGTATATGGCTAACCAAAGACATGATGCACCTCTATCAGGAGAACTTTGCGCCCATTCTCTGCACCTTACAAGCTGATTTGGCAACCCGGGGCAGCCTTTGCATCTCCTGGTTCGGAAGAATCAATGCCTTGAAACTAAACTTGTTGCCACAACTCCTCTACTTATTCCAGACCATTCCAATTTCTACACCTGAGTTCTTTCAATCACTCACCACCTCGATATTCAGGTTTGTCTGGAAATCGGGACCGCTCAGAGTAAATCTGGCACTCTTGTCTCTCCCTAAATGAATGGGAGGGGTGGGCCTGTTTGCTGTTGCTCCAAAAGAAGACCTAGTCTGAAGTGCTTCCAATTTTGCAACAAACTAGGAAAAATTTCCTTCTTGACCCCAAAATAGCAGTCAGATGTCTCCTTCGATCAAGCAGCTATTACCTCACTAATTATATCCCTGTATGTTATGTTTTTGCATGTATGTATCCAATTGCAGTTTAAACATCTGTATGGACTCTGATAAAACCACCTCTTCAGGCAGAGAATTCCATATCCTTATTGCTCTTACTGTAAAAAAAAACTTTGGGGAATGAGAAGAGGGAATGACACAAACGCTGTCAAAATCATAGACCGCATTACCCCCGTTAGTGACCAGCGTCGCTGGCCGGACCCACCGCCTGTGACCAGGACCACAGTTAAACCTTAAAATCCACAGCACAAATATAAAACTGACCTGAGTCATTAGCCCTTCCTAAGTGAGGAGCATATTTGGCTAACTTGCACGCGGCTCTGACCTACAATTAAATTAGCCTCACACCACTCTGAGCAGTCAGCCTCAACAACCTAGGCTAGACTGTCGGATCGATGCTGAACCCTTCTTATTAAGCAATATTATTTGAATGTCAATGTACTGTAAAAACTGTGCCTTTGTTATATGCCATGTATATACCATTTCTTGTTCTTATTCCTTGCTTATGTTGTCATGGCAACACGAACCTCTGTACCATCTTAAGCACAGAGAAATAAAGAATTTTAAAAAACAAAAAAAACAAAACAACTTATTTACCTTAGATAAAATCTCCTTTCTTCCAGCCTAAATGAACTGGATCACAGCTGACCTCATCCAAATGTACCAGTTTCGGGATTCTTTGTGGTCAAAGTTTAAGCGTACTGGCTCTATGAATGATCACGGTGCATATATACAAT